GTTAAACAAAATACATGTAAGATATGCATAGATCATAGAAAATGAAAGAAAACATATAGGTCATAAGAATAAACATTAATGATATTTGTATTTTTGTTTTTCCACGGTTGGAAAATTGAGTTTACTCCTCATCCAGCTTTTAATCGAACGTTCCATTAGAAACTATCAAATACGATTTAGAAATAAACGTTTCCCGTTTCCAAAATAAAAGATTAAAATATACGACCATCGAACATGCATCGTTTAATTAACTTAATTTAATTAGTTTAATTAACTTATCGATTAACTTACTCAATAGAGAACTAATACAAACTATTACGAAAATTCGTAAGGGGCGACTGAAACCTATTTCAAGTTTATCTAACGGGGTCTCCTCACGCTTACAAAACATTAAATATAATTTAGGAACGTGTTCCTCGTTTCACATATAAAAGATATTGACGGAAATCCTATTTACGCGATCACCAAACATGTGCATAAATCATCCATTCAATAGGGAACTAATCTCAACTGGCCGAAAAATTCGAGGCAACGTTCTAAACGGATTCCAAGATTCTGTTACGATGTTTGTAAAATTGCTGGAAATCTTATGCGACACTTTGCAAAGGAGACGGCGGGAATTCTGTTGTGTAGGATGACCTACAGTTCTCAAGGTACTTTGTAGCATTATGGAAACCCGTGCGCCACGAGTCGGCGCTGAATCTTCCCCGGGACGAAAGCAAGCGAGAAATTGCGGGTTATTTGCGGCAATTACAAGCGCACCAACTCCCAACTAATTATCTCTGTAATTACAGCGCTTTTCGCGTGTTGAACGTCGCACGCGCAGCCACGGTCAAGGGTAGGTTGGCGGCACGCGTCATGCGTGCAAGCGTGTAATGCAACGCGCGCCCGTACGCGTTTCTTCATAAAGCCCCGGTGAAACCGCGTGCGCATCACCGCGGTGTGCCCGGGCTGTTCGTGACCGTCCGGCATTAATTATAGTGTCGTGCCCTTTAATACGAATCCCGGCTTTATGAGCGGATGGAAATATGGACAGAAAGAGAGAGAGAGAGAGAGAGAGAGAGAGAGAGAGAGAGAGAGGGGGTGAGACGAACGGTGGAAGAAAGGCGAAGACAAAAGGACGTGTCCGGCGACGGAATTATTTTTTCGCGTCGGCTCACCCCGTCGCGATGGAATCTCAGCCAACAGGGACCACCGCAGACAACCTTTCTCTCTTTCCCATTCTTTCTGTCTTTCTCTCTTTCTCTTTCTTCCTCCCTTACTCTTTCATCCTCTCATCTCTTGCTCTATCTCTCTCGCGTCCCTTTTTTTCCTCGCTTTATTTTTCGTTTCTCCTATTCGCGCCGGGAACGATATTTATTCGGCGTTCTCTGACGAAGGTCCTAGGCCAGTCCTCCGTGTGCTGCCGTCGTGATTCCGGTGAAACGACGACGTGAGGAGTTTGATTGCCGGCCCCGGACCGTCCACTTGACTGATTGGATGGTCCCGGGCTCGGACATCGAGCCACGGTTGCGAATAATATTCGCGTTCTAGGCCCCCGATTCGCCCTGCATATACTGTAACGAATCTTGTCGAAACGAACCGCGGATGGATTCGGACACGAAACCAGACGATCAGGGACTACCAAGTCTGGTCCGAATTAGAGGATCGAGGATACCGTGTTTCTACTTCTACGGGGTCAAGGTTGATCCCAGAGCAATCGTCCGGTGATGTTATGCTCTTCTTTCTACTCGCTTTCGTGTCACTGTGCGAAGAACTGCTCAACTCTGACGACTTACAAGCAGAAATGCGTTCACATGTTTCTTAACCGATTTGCATCCGCAAAGGATATGATCTGTGCGCGATGATCGTGAACTATCGCCAATTCGTTCATTATTTTTAAGATTGGTTACTCTATATTGGTTAACTATCATTACGTAGATAATACACTACTCGGTCTTTATTGCAATTAAGTCGAGTGCACGTCATGCGCACTATTTCGTCATTGGCGGTAGTTGATAATAATCACGCGTGAATTATTCCGCTCGCGGATGCAAGAGGATTAATATTGTAGAATGTTCGATTCTCACTTTAGTGTGCTTCATTTTGAGGTATTCTTGATACGTTGTTTGCGAAGAGAACGGATAAAGTAAGAATCTTGTTTGTAATTCTGGAGTTGTTTGTGAAGAGAATGGGTAAAGTAAGAATCTTGTTTCTAACAATTTAACTTTCTGAAGTGTACGAGGAAGTAACGAAGATATTTTTATCTTATCTATTAGAGGACTCATTCTGAATACTCTGTATGTAGAATTGTTCTAGAAAATTGATTAACCGATTAATGTAGTCGGTTAAAAATCAGGAGATACGTACTCCAAATGAGGTTCAAGGGGTAGCCCCCATTCCTGTCGACGTCATCGGAGTCTTTCATAATACCATACTACTTCTCTTCTTAGCCTTTTCTTATCTAACAAAATCAAATAAAATCCGGCCATTTACAGAGTAGCCCTGTGACAACAAAAGTGATACTTCTGCAGATTGAAAATCTTCTGCAGTCTGAAATCGTTGACAAACCTGCCAGTTTCTTTTAGCACCTTTAACACAGTTACTTCTGGCCACGGTCTCATCCTTGATCCTCAATGAACAAGATCCAGGAGATCAGGCAGATCCAAGGCCGCCGGAGAGGGAGCGTCGAGACTTCATTACAAAAACCGGGGGAAAATCATCGATCACGCGAGGCGATGCAAAGACACCCGAGAGATCTACGCGTCGTCCCTTTATCTGAAGATCTGATCCCGGGCCCGTGTCTCATCTCAATCGGTGTCCGGCACTGAAAAATTCCTGCGTCTCCCCCCACAGAGAGATAGAAAGAGAGGGAAAGAGAGAAGAGAACCGTGCGTACGGTTCAGCTAATAAAATCATCTGCATCCGGGCCAGAAAATTATCTGACGAATTCATCTGCTTATCGAGCAATAAAATGGCCCGGCGTCCACTCCTCGATCCCGATGCCTATCTCCTCTGCCCTTCCACCTCTGTTCCTCTCTCGATCTCTCGCGTATAGGTGCCTAGACACATTGTGGCGCCAAGCCGGAGATCCTCTTCCTCCCCATGTGCACAGCACACACGTATAAAGACGCGTTCCCTTTCTTGATCGACTTTTTTTATTCCCTACCTCGATACGAGAGAAAAAGGAGAGGGAGAGAGAGAGAGAGAGAGAGAGAGAAAGAGAGAGGAGAGAGAGAAAGAAAGGGAGAAAGAGAGAGCTGCTTACGTTCGAGCATCGGGGGCCGGTTTAATAAGGCCCACCGCCCCTCCCTCCACGATATTTATAATCCCGCGGGGAAACTGTTTTTATAATCTCGCCTAGGAATCTCGGAGCCTGCCATACCTAGCCGCCGTTTAGGCCAGCTCGGCCTTTCGAATTTCCTGATCTTTGGGCCCCCTGTTTGCGACCCACTCATGAAACTGCAGGGTACTTCGGGATCTTTACCATATCTGGGTAATAGTACCATTCGTTCGCAGTTGAAATTAATTTTTGCTCCGAGACTCCACGGCAGTACTGTAATGTCTTTCTAAAATTGACGCTCAGGTTGTCCACAAAAATGGACAATTTTGGAAGAGCAGATACGATTATTTGATCCTTGCGGTTCATTTTTATAGTTACGAATTGTCAATAACTATAAAAACGAGACGTAAGACTTGGATAATCGTATAATTGACGCTCAAATTGTCCATCTTTCTGCACAATCTTAGCGCCAGTTAGGGAGACATTACTGTACTCCATTTAATTAACGTTTGTTTCCCAATTTTGTCTTCTTTACATAAATTGGTTGCATTTGCTTCAGTTGCCTACTTTAGCCACTTTTATGGTTCGTATATTTCTAAATCTTCAATTTTTAGTAATATCGAACGAAGCTTGGAACGAAGGTTTCATCCCTTTGCATTGCAATAGCAGATTAGCAAATTTAACCCGTTGCGTTAAAATGGCTGACAACAATGTTTACATTACTAAACGTTCGTCTTCAACAAATTACTAGAAACAGTAACACAGTTAAAGGACAAGCGCGACTCGATTACATACATATGCAAAATAAGAATTGTATTCCTAATCAGAAGAAATGTTACGGAACGAAAAATATGAGAATAGTGTGCAGAGTTTCTACCACACGTTCGGCAATTTAGGTAACACGGATTCGATTCGACAGTTGACACCGTGGTTCAGTGACGATAAAAGATCTCGCATATGGCAGAAGAGGAATCGTCAGCAGCCGTCAGGAATACCGGTGACTGGACGACTGAAGCTCTGACGCTAACCAGCTCTCGGTCTCTTGTAAAGTCAGGTATACGCGAGTCGCGGGCACTAAAACGAACGTTAATTTCCACACGTTAAAGTTATTATTTATTGATACGACGTAATCTCGGGCCCGAGATCAAGGCAGACGCTTAGTCGGTCGATATTCACCCGAAACTGCGGCCCGGGCGGATTCCTCGTCGCATTTTATTATCTCGATCGTTCATAAATTCCGTTACAATACAAGTATAAAGTATCCACCGCCTCCGCGGTACGAAAAAGGTCGTCCACAGGGTCCGTGGAGGTCCTCTCGCGTGTAGCATTGTCATCGTTCGGAGCCAGCTTTTCAATAATCAATTATACGACATTAAAACCGTATATTTATGAATCGTTCTCCATCCGGTCCTCCCCGAGAAAAGGAAAAAAGATCTGAAAACAAAAACTTAGAGGAAGAGTGAGAGAGGTGAATACAGGAGAAAAAAGGATAGAGTTATACAGAGAGAAAGAGAGAGAGAGAGAGAGAGAGAGAGAGAGAGAGGAGAGCGAGTGAACCAGGGAGAGAGAGAGAGAGAGAGAAGAGAGAGAATCTGGAGAGAGGACCTGTGCTGGCACCGATAAAATACGTATCTTAAAATCCCGACGAATAGTCCTCGTAATTAAATCCCTGGTTTTTTGCCGAGGCACCGAGAACAACAGGAATAGGTGGTCGACGCGTCAAATAAATCAGTCACCGTTCTTTAATATATTTCAGTCAATATATTTCCGATCTTCTTGGCAAAACAAATATTATAATGTGGTACAGGCATGGTCGTGGATCGGGAGCTCTCACCCCATCGCCAACCTAAGCATATACACAACGAAAAATAATAATTATTATAATAAAGTTAGAATGACGGGTGCGCTCCGTATCTCTCGATCGTCCGTTCTCTGTTCCCCCTTTCTATCGCTCTCCCGCTCTCTCACTCTCTATCTCTTTATTCTTGCTATTTACAGAATATCACACATCAGAACAAATCCGTAGGACATATCTTACAACATATCCCCAACACGTTGCATCAGAACTTTGCCTATTAATATATTTACAATGTCGCTTCGTCGTTCCTAACTTTTCCGCGGCCATTTTATATTTCCCCGCACTGCCAAGTTAATTAGAACTCTTGAAATCTGTGACACAATTTAGGTATCACATACCTTTATCTTTTGGGACTAAATATGACGTTCTAGCGTGTATAATTTTGCACGCAACACGTTATTTTTAGAAAATCTGTGCGGTTCTAGCAAAAATTAATATTTCTTTTTTGAAAAATTTCTTTTTTTGCGATAGGACCGTCCAAAAGATGCCAATTCTTAAGAAGATTGCTGGAGTACCGATGCAACTTTAAATCAACATAGGATGAAGTCTCACTCACCTCTTATATGTTAATTGGACAGATTTCTCATTGCTTTTGAATATAAAGTGTTTTACATCGGAAACGAATATACGGGATCAATTGTCCAAATTCTAGTGAACATTAAAACAGGAGAATTAATATCGTATGAATTGACAGATGTGTAACACTTAACAAAACCCCAATTGAAAATACATCGAAGTTTGTACACATATATTCAAAAAAGACGAACCATTAAAAGAACTGCCCGAGATACCTATTCAAATTAGTTTTATAAAAGAAACGCTACAATATGCGAATGCATACAGACATTTTAGAATCCAGCTTGGGTGTCCAATTAAGGATCGCAGATTAAAATTCCTAATTTATTGACAATGCCGGGTGCGAGAAACGAATGGTGGATTGGTCGTGGCGCTCCGTAGGAACAATTACAAAGCCGTTTCGCTTCGGGATTCGATAAACCGAGGCACGATTCGCCATATTGGATAGGTTGAGACCGCCCCGGTTGATCCGTAACGATCCCCGATTTTTCCGCGATCGAGAAACGCGCGTGACACCTTCGGAGCGCTCGCAAATAGCCAGCCGGTGATTTAGGTTAATTGTATTTACACCCATACTCCGCCCGCCGCGCCGCGACGCCTCGATCCGAGGTAACTAACTTTCTTATTTGGTTTCTCCCGTGTCCCGAACCTCGAGATTTATGCTATCGCCGTGATGCGTCGTTCCCGTTCGAGCCTCAGCGAATAGAAACCGGAAACCGTCTCCTCTTATCCGCCCGTGAAACGTGACAATAAATACTAACCGCGGGCTACCTTTGGTCGCGAGCACTCTTCCTATCCTCTAAATCAGGGCTGCGAGAATCCAGGAACTTGGTCTACTGCTCGGGCTTTCGTACTGTTCGAAAGGACAAATGTTTGCTGATTGCACGTTGCGAGCCAGTGAAAATATTAGGCTGTCCCAAAAGGATATACCAACAATGTGATTGTCTTTTTCTCAATGACTTATCACTTCTTAGAATTTTTTGAGTTCAATCGCAGTGGTTACTCGCATCTGTCGAGATTATTATTTGGGGGATCGATGAAGTTAGGGGCAACCTAATATTGACGAAAAGGCGGATAGAAAAATTTATGGGTTAAATCAATGGTTTCAATCCTCGTCCATCTCTCATCTTTCCAACTGAACGATGTCAAACTGATAAAAATGTTAAAAATCAATGAGGTGAAACGACGGCTCAACATCAGGTTTAAAATAACGTACTATATATTCAGGATCACAGATGGACAAGGATGAACATTCGTAAACAGATACTCGCAGAACGATTTCACTTTAACAACCGATTCACTAAAAACAAAAAAACTATCCAAGGAAGGGCACAAACTAAAAATACATCGCACCATTCAAAGTCCGAACCCTACTCACAGCCCCAGTCTAACCACTTCTCGAATTCATCCACAATTCGCGAGTCAACGTTCCCGCTGTCCGCAAAACGAGTTCAAGAAGGAATAACAAGGTTCTTCAGGTTCCATTTCAATCATTCCTATCAATCTTTCAGAATGAGACTTTCGCGTTATATAGTAGTGAACAATAGTACCTGGGATCCCCTAGAATCCAGATTATTGGAACCTGTAGGACCTTTTGGAGCTCTTCGAACTCTTGGACCTCTTGGACCTCTTCGATCTCTTGGACCTCTTCGATCTCTTGGACCTCTTGGATCTCTAGAACCTCTAGAACTTTTTAGACATTTTAGACCTGTAGGATCCGTAGGATCTCTCTCTCTCTCTCTCTCTTTTTTGTTGAAATTCTTTAGAATTTCTAGGATCTCCAGGAGATCCTTTAAGATCCTTAGGACCTTTAGACACTTTAGGACCTTTGGGATTTCTAGGATCCCTAAGAATTCTAGGTCCTCTAGCACCTCTAGGACTTCTAGGATCTCTAAGACCTCTAGAACTTTTAGGTCCATTAGAACCTTCAAGATTCCAGGTGATAGTCCGTAGACGTTCATGGAAATCGACAGTGATTCTTCTCGATCTTCGGTGATCCATGCGATGGATCTAGTAGGCGGTCGCTTGGTGGTGCATCAGCGGATTGAAGTGATGGGGTCCTAGGTGATGGGGTGGCGGTGGTCCCGGCAGAGGACTGTGCTGAGGCCCGACCGTCGGCGGCTGGCAGACGTACCATTCCGTCAGCTCGGGCCCCCTGGTCGACGGATGACTCGACGGCGGATTGGTCGCGGTGGTCGTCGGGACGACCGGCGGCGGTTGAGGAGACTCCGTATGCCCCGTCACCGACAGGCTACCCCCGCTGCTGCTGCTCTCTTCACCCTCGCTCTCGTAGCCCCCTCCAATCTTGCCCTCGCCCAGGGTCAAGCCGTGCACCTGGAAACAAGAGGCGGAGCCTAACGTTAGGATTTTCGTTACCCCCAAGTCAGGACGAGTCATCGCGAGCTACTTCGCACGACTGGGGTTGAAACTGTTCGCTCGCATTCTAGGGGAGGAGTTTAGGGTTGCTGAGGTGACGCCAGGAATTCCGTTAATTACCGAGGAATCGTTCGGATTGTTGGAAGCCGGGTGAAAGGTCCGAGGTGGTTGGTTAGGTGATTTGAAGAGTGGTGTTTAGACGGTACTGTTCAATTTCATTGGTGTTGTTGTAGTGGATCTCGATTATCTGAACGTTTCATGTGTAAATTCTATTAGGCGGTTCATTTGCGGTACTATTTATGTAGAAGACAGCGAAATTGAAGGTAACGCTAATGCTGAAGGCCATTCTGTATACTTAATACTAAACCTATCATGTCGGAAAAGATGATCAGTTTCACATGTTTCATTTCAAAATTATTGAATTTATAAAGACTCTCTCATAAGAAATGATTTAATCGATTTGTTCATTCAAGCATATATTATTATAGAAATGGCGAGAATTCTAAATAAATTCGATCTTGTCATTCTCATAGAGAAACAGACATTAGCTGTTTTTAATGCTCGATAAGTTTAGTGTTAATTGTCATTGTAGACGTATCGAACAATTACACAACCCTGCTTTAATCACCTATAGAGGTCAGTGCTGAAAAGGTATGGGCTTCAAAAAGTCATTCATAAATCTATTCAAAAAGCGACAAAGCATTAACCCCTTTTAAAAGAATTGGAAGGTATAGTGAGGTATAGTGAGGGAAAGCGACAAAGAAGAACATGCAGAAGAAGCACGTAACTTAATCAGAATCGACTGATGGTTACATGGATGAATTCGATAGGCAATAACGATTTATATAATTAACATTTGATTGTAAATATGAGCCTCTACCGACCAGTTGCCAGTGTTATCAAAGCAATGAGTTGAATCTACAACCTTCGCAACAGTCAACCGAGAAGAAGTTTCATCCAGTGCCATGTTCTCAACCCGGCTACCTGCACAGATCCTGACGATCTTAATTTCCTATACCTTGGGGATGATCCATGACTATCTCGGGTCTCACGACTGAAGACACTAGTGTATCTGATCACCGTAAGTTATCGCTTCGCAGGTCAACGGGAATCAAGCAAAAGTAGGGAATCACGAGCAAAAAGTATCGCGACGCTGCGTTGGCTGAACCGAAGTCGCTAGGGATCACGAAAAGAGAGAGTGAGAGTGAGAGTTAGAGAAAGAGACAGAGAGAGAGAGAGAGAGAGAGAGAGAGAGAGAGAGAGAAAGACTTTGTGGAGGAGCAGAGGGATGAGGGAGGGGTAGATCAAGGCTCCGTCGTTTCCCGTCCCGGTTCCCCATGGCCGAGTCCTCTTCGTTCATAATTCAGTGAGCAAATCTCGACGACTGCCTTCCGCGAATCACGGGGCCCCGGCGAAAAGCGTGGAGAACCAAGGAGCCGGCTCCTATCCGAAGAACCTATCGCGCACGTATCTCGGGAGTTGGCTTTTGGACGGTTCTGCCACCCTCTAGCTCCGCCAGCTCGCCTCCCGTCCGCTCGGTGTGCCACAGATAATTTCCTATTAAGATTCCGTGGCCGTTCGTGCATGAACCTTACGCCAGGATACTATCCTCTCCTGAACATCGTCCCTACCCACATGTCTTTTTCGCCTGTCTTTTTTACCTACTATATTTCACTCTTTCTCTCTCTCTCTCTCTCTCTCTCTTCATCTTTCTACTCGTGTCTACTACCGTGAAACGAAACTTGGAAACACACCTCGATACGTGTGTACACCGGTGTTACGGAGAGAAGCGAGATAATTTCAGCCCGAAGGGGTGGATGCGAGAAAATTGCTGCGATTCCGTTGCGCTTGTTCGGCCCTCGGCATTACAGCGATCAGCATAATTGCAGAATTGCGTTCGCAGGCATACCTTTGTGCTTCGGGGAGAACAACTGACTCTTTCTCAGCCACTTTGTTGCGAGACTCATTGTGCCACCCTCACTTTTCTAGAGATTATAATCGATTCTTTGATCAACAATTTTTTTCCGCTATTGTTGGGACTGTTCGAACCCTGAGTTATATACTAAATAATATTTTGCGACGTCGCTTCACTAGTAACATTTTAAAAATACTCTAACTCGTACTAGTTTGACTGTAACAATTTCTTTCGAACTACTTGGATAATTTTGTGTGTATGGAAGGAAACTCTGAAGCTAAAATTTTGATAAAATGTAGACCATTAATGCAAAAGCTTCGTGGCAAGTCGGTACAATCCGATTCCATCGATGTTTCTAACTTTGTGCAAGATCTAACAGAAATGTAAAGGACTGAAGCGAGATCAAGAATTATTCGTGGAATGACATCGGGGATGCACAAGAATGATTAGTAGACAAGATGAAAATGAATTTCATGTGTGAGATTGTTTCGCTGTATACACGGTTTGAATATGAAAAGCATGAGTGAGGAAGATAGATGCATGCGAATTATTAAATTGATCTATTTCTTTTCGTGTCCTCAACGAGCGGAGTTACAGTTAGCTCATCAAACATTTGTTGATGTTAAAGGAGCTGTTTTATTGGTCTTCTCTCGCATAGATCCATCATTTCAATGATATTAATCTTTCTAAGATGATATCCCAGTTTCTTGGACCAGAATACCCTGCTGTCGATACGATAACGAGCAAAGCAACGGGAAAAGACAGGAGTCGTTTCGAGCAGCTGCTGATCGCATGGTTCGACGTTACCTTCATATGCTTGCGCAACGAGCTGGGGTGGGTGTAGGACTTGTCGCACCCGGAAACCCGGCAATTGTAAGGCTTGTCGGACGTGTGGACGTGACTGTGCTTCTTGCGGTCGCTGCTGTTCGCGAATCGCCTCTCGCAGCCGGAGTACTCGCACTTGAACGGCTTCTCTCCTGCGAAAGAAAAAGGGAAAAACCCGGGACGTGAATTAATGGCGTTGTAATTGAGACGTGCAATTACACGCGCGTTACACAGCGATAATTGAAAACGGTACTCTCCCCGTATTGGCCAGCGACCGATACGATGCAAACGTGGACATTGATCTATGCTCTTTCTCGCCGCACAAAACAAACAATGCTCAAGGCTTGTCGGCGGTCCCTGTTATCGGCGCATAAACACCCTGGCGATTGTATTGTATGCGAATCCGCGCAATAATGAATGAAGTATGATGAAACCCTGATTACCCGAACCTTCGGTGTCCGAATTCTCTGCAACCGAAATACGTTACACGTGCGTTATCTTGAAATCATCGACAATTATTTCACCGACAATGTTTTCATCGGCGCGATTTCAGCGACACTGCATTTCGTCGACATTGTTCATAAACCGATACGTTGAAAACACTGACAGATGTTTTACACCGACTCTCGTTTCATCGACAAACGTTATTATCGACGCTTCGTGTATGAAAAATGCAGAAATGAAGTAATTCTGTTTCGAAACAGCAAGTGTTATGTAATCGACGAAAAAATATTGACGAACTTAATTTGTCCGACGAAATGTTGAATACTTGGAATGGTAAGCTTCGTAAGAGTTATTAAAGAAGAATCTGAATGTACCGTGCTGCGATAAATTCTTCCAAATTGTCCATTTCTAACGCCAAATTTAAGATAATTTTTCCTGTAGTATTGCCATGTTATATGAACAGAAAAAAAACAATATTTATAAACTTTCCAATACATTAACCGTCCTAGGATTAATATTTTCAAATATAAATTTTATTTATCGCGATTCGTCAATCTCCAATCACAGCATCATGAAGTTTCCACGACAGAACATCTGTGAAAGTAGCTTATTCGTAATTGAATTAAAAAATTGTGATTGCTGTGCCATGATGGTAGATCTAATCAATTCCTGTTGCGATTTTCATGAAGATAATGCACAGTGTTACGGAAGAAAGTGAAGGTGACAAACACAGATGACTAAGATTAAGTCGTTCAGCGATCGACGCGCTTTGACGGGCGTTTGCGATGCAGAGGAGCGTTCTCGCGCTTCCTGCCGGAAGCCGAGTTGTCTCCCAGCGGGTAATTATCAGGAAAGCGGCGATCGCGGCTCGGAAAGGCAGGAAAAATATTTTCCTCGGGCAGGCCGGTGGAAAAAGGACTCGAGGCGCTGCCACAATAGACTCTCGAACGCGATTACATCGTATCGCGGACCGTTTCATCATGATTCCCGGATATATCTTGATGAGCAACGGTGGAACATTTTCTCCGCGGTGCTCTCTCTCCCCGTCCTCTGTCTCTCTCTCTCCCCGTGGCTCCTCTTCGCCTAGGGCGAGGAGCAGAGATATCGAGAGATAAGCTCCCCTGCACACGAATGGCCGCCGTCGTCGGGGCGCAACGAGACCGTGTGGCGTGACTCTTATTTATTTCCACCGGAAGTTGACTGGAATATATTTTACCGTCGGCTCACACCTCCCCCCTCCCTTTCTCTCTCTCTTTCTCGGTAGACACCCTTTTCCGGGACTTCCTACTGGCGCTCTCGCCGAGAAGTGCGGAGACGCGCGAAGCAGGAAGCGCAAACTTGGCGGATTTTTTATGGGGAAAATGGTGGCCAACTTCGCCCTTCTACCCTCCGCGTCTTCTTTCCTTCTCCGGCTGGTTCCAGGATCTCCACCCTCCTCCGCGACCAAGAAAAAGGGAGCAGTCGCGGCTTGGATACGAGATCCGCGTTAGCGGAACGTAAAAACGAGGACCAGATGGAATGGGATCTGTATGTTCGAGAGCCGAGATTTTACCACCCTCTCGCTGCTACATTGTTTTCTTTCCTCGTGGGCTGACACTACTTCGGTCTAGGGGCGACAGATTCGTCTCGAGTGTCCTCGCGGGAAATTATTTCATTGCGTTTCTTCTGTCGGCGTTGCTTAATCTCCAGGAATTTTCATTTTTGTCGATTATTGGTTCAATCTTTCGTGGACCAAAGAATCGGTCAATATTCGAGTCAGTACATATTAATCATCTTAATGACATTTTCAAATTGCAGAGACCTTTTCTCTCGTATCGGAAACCATTTTCAGTAACGATGTTATTATAATAACGAGTTACTTATTTCACACACAATCTACTTCATATGAACGTTATTCATCTAAAACGAGGCAAATATTGATTTCTCTATTATGTAAATTTAGGAATGCAAATAAGAAGGGAAATTATTAAAGACGAAGTAGTGTTAATCAATGTGGTTGTGAAGAAAAGACGTAATGTAAGAAATTAATAGGATTCTTTCACGAAGTATCAAGAAAAATTCTCTGGCAAGATTAAGTGGCTGACGTGATTAAGCAGAGAGAAATTGTGTTCTGCCATCCATGGAATTTTCAAGCGAAGTGTTAAATCGTCGCGATCCACTTAACCCATCGGGGGAAACCGTTCTCGACGGTGCACGGTGGTTGATTTTTCCTTTCTGTGACCCACGGTCATTAGGCGTATCTGGAGCAAGCCAGGCCTATTTTTTCTGGCTCGTACGAACAAGCTAGTTCGCGTTTATTAATACGATCAGCTGGCTATCGCGACGAGAAAACTCGTCAACGCGAATAACGACAAAGAAGCGTGGCAGGTTTTCGCGCCGCGAGCTCGGCCGGCCCGGACTGGCCCGACACGGCTAGGCCCGACGTCGTTATTCATCTCACGTGTGAAAAGCGCGATAACATTGCCATGTTCCCGTGACGTATCACCGCGACACAGATTATATTTAAATCGCTCGGACGTGGACTGCGGGCGCTTATGGCAGCGCCGTCGTAAGAAGGCGTCTTAAATATTTATGAACCTGGAAAGATAGCGGTTACCGCGCTGCCGGTGTCGCGCCGCTTATCTGACGTTTCACATGACTATGCTTCAAATTCTCTCGTTGACTACCGGTGCCGAGAGGTCTCGCTGCTGGACAATTTGCGGCGGACACGCTTCGAGAGTTTTATTGGCAACGTTCAGCCGTGGGACGCGAGAGAAAAGTCTCATCAATTATAACCGAGGAAATTACCGCGCAGCTTGAACCTCTGCGAGGAGTTTCAGGAAATTGCTGTGCTGCTAGCAGCCCGAAACGCGACTAATGCGTCTTGTTTTGCAGCAATAGCAAGACTGGAGTTACTCAAACTTCTATTACATTATAGGTCAGAATGGAGAAAAACATTTCTCGTAATAACCAATCGAGTATGAATTATAAAATGTTCCGTCCCTTCAAATCGGAATAAAATTCTGTTCTCCTGTCATCGATATCGAAACACTCAAGTAAACGTTGGCACACTCTAAGTGCGAATTTTCTTCTAAAAAATGATCAAAATCGAAGGAGTCCTAATCATTAGAATTGATGATAACGCTACATCAAGCGGTTAATTCTTTTCCAGCGTTAAGCGCGAATGCATAGAGGGATGCAAGAGAGATCTGGTTCGCAGGCAGATTCGCCATGAATCGCCTCCACTCACCGATTCGCACCTCCTCAGAGGTGAATCCTCCCCCCTAAGCCAATTTCGAGGGTTCGAATAGCGAGGTGCCAACGACGCCTGGTTATCCGGTGCCGGCATAAAGGCGACGCACACCGTAGCGAGCGAGTCTCCTTCTACCAAAAACGGGGACGATTAATAACTTTTCAAATCTGTCCCCGGCAGGGTCGTGAGCTCGGGGACCGCTCTTCGGTAGCGAGCACGTTGGCAAATAAATAGCAGATAAATAAAAGCCTCGCGTCTCTCCTACGTCCTGCCTGCGTTCTCTGTGTCGTGCGCGCGGGGTTGCGTGTGCAGATGGCAACAATATGCCGTGAAATATTGCCCCCGACGGTCGTGTGCGAGGAGATGAACGCGTGTGCGTGCCCGGGGACCCTATAGGAAGACGCCTCGATACACGCTTGATACACTCACGGGCCGACTCTCTCTCTCTCTTTCGCTCCTTCTCTTTTGACATCTATCTCTCCTTTACCTGTGGGATTCCTCACCGAGGGAGACTTAACTGGACGGAAGTTTGTACTCGCTGAAGGATTCACCGGGACTCTTTTCCGAGGATCAAGAGATCACACGGTCTCGGCGAGAGAGGATTCACCGATCCATAGGATTCACCAATTTCAGTGATCGAGCATTCGAAGGACGCATCTGTTTACAGTGAAGCTTATTTTCGGATGCTATATATGAGTGGGTTAAAATCATAGTGGTGTAAGTTACATTTTTCTCACACTGTGAGAAACAAGGTATGTTATTGTTTACTAGCACATGCATTTTTCACTTACCAAATTTATCGTAAAGATAATTTAAAGTTACGTTAATTTATAGAGTAACTTTATAATTTATTTCACTTGTCTTTTCCAAATTTTGGCATGCATAGATTATATTGCAAGACATCAGTCAACATTTTCGAAAATGTGAGTTACGCCACATATAATATACTAGAAAATGATTATTAGTATACCTTGGAAGTTTTAGGCACTGCTATACGTATTATTGTGCAGAACATAGTGAAGTGATTTAGTAAAGCTCTTAGTTTCACGGTTTGTCTTGTAATTAATGTGGCATTGTTATTGCTCCTATAAATTTCTAAACTGAGGATGCTTTCTGTAATATGTTTCTTTAAAATGAATTTGCAAGGACGAAAACTCATCTTGTATTGAACTAGTTCGTCCAAAGTCATACTAGGTTTAGAATTATTTAAATATAAATGTTCTCATACTTTACAGAAAAATGTACAGCAGTGATTGCATATAATGTACAATCTAATAATTTTCCATCGCAGTAATAAATGTAAAAATTAGACAGCAAGCTTCTCAATTATCTTTTGAACGAGTTAGTAACAATAAGCATCGACCGAACGAAGAACGAATAGTTTAATAGCAATGAGGTGTCAGAAGCATCACGAATCGGTTAGGTCAGCTCTCCACTCGGGATCCACCCAATTTTCTTATTAACCCCGATCTTGAC